AATAGAATTTGTGTTATTTTCTCGTCGGTGTCTCTTTAAAACCTTGGAGGTGCAGTAAAACTATCATTATCACAAATATTGCTTCCGTCTGTTTATTATGATTTAATGATTATTATGTTATTTCTTTTTTAATAATTATACTGTATTTAATTATATTGTTTTTATTTGTTAATATTAATAACATATAGATTTAGCCAAGCCTAAACGCGGAGCTCCTGATTAAAGAATTAACCATAAATGAAAAGAGGATATTTTTTCCTGGATCAGAAACTCAAAAATGATCAATTGGGAGCATATGATTGTTCAGAGTTCACTAGTTTTTCTAGTTACATTTTAACAAACCATCCTAATGAGTGTTCCCAAGATTGGAGAAATTACGCACGCAATGTATCAGGGACTTTCCAAGAGACGATTGTGCGAGGAATATGTTGGAGGAAAAGTCAACAACGCGTCTGGGTTTAATTTGCGCTGAAATTTTGCCTTTGCATCATGTACTCCCCCCCTCTCCCCAAGAGTAATAACCTGGCTTGAGCACACGATCAAATGAAAAACCCAGTACCTGGTCAGGGGTCACCTTCAAAAAAAGAGCCCGCGATATGACCACCTGCGATATGGTCACTTGATACTGGTCAGCGGATACCTCGTTTTCACAGCTGTCATTTAATTACAACATGGATGTCCGATATCAAAGATGTACCTATGGTAATGGTGTTACTCTCTCTCGGACGAACGGACCTACGTCCGTACGTCCATACGCCTGCACGCCCGTACGGATAGTTACGTGACAACCAAAATTTTTGAGATCGATGGGCTACCAAATTTTCTAAGGTATGGGGCTCCGCTCACACGCCTTCGGCGCCCAGGAGCTCCGCTTTTATTAATTTCCTTACTATGGCAATTTATCGTTTATGAAAACAAAGCCTTTCAACTGTACTCTTGGAATGGTAATTTAACCACGCGTATCTTCTACACACTAGCATTTTTGCTTTTTAATATCTCACTAATTATTTCCTCTTCCCAATCTTGTGTCGTCTTAAATTTGTCATAATCCACCAGGTTCTTCTTTCTCAAAGCGGCTGGTAATTGCTTGTTCTTCATGTTGTTGATCTTTACGAGAATCAGTGACGAATCGCCCTCATCCAATCCTCTCTGCACAGCCATGTGCAGCTCCTCTCGACAAAAGTTGCTGGCGAGGTAATTCTCAGACAAAACAATCAACACTTGACGGCTGCCGTACACACTGTCGGCCATGTTCTGGACGATGGGTATTCCAATTTCAAAGTCCCGGCTGTGGATGCTGTAGTCAATCGAGTGCTTTTCAAGAATTGAGATGAGATTGTCAGTGACCCAACCAAAGTCCTTTGAACTGTAGCTGATAAACAGTCTGTTTATGAGATCCTCTTCGAGGAGACCAGCTACCAAGGATAAAAACAAAACGAGAATAACAAGTAAACCAAGGCACATTTCTTCAGATCTGGCTTGCAGGTTGCGTGGACAACTGAGTTCTAAAATAAACTAGCTTCGCAAGCATTTAGCGGAAATTAAAGTGAAATTAACTGAAAGACTCACTCTTGCAAGGAAGCAAGGAAGCAGGTTAGCAGGTTACGTCGTTAGCAGGTTTTAATATACAATTTCAGAATTAAAAGAAAGTTTTAAGCTTTTACTTACTAAAAAAGTTAAGAAAACTTGGCGATAAATCACGAAACATTTTGGCAACAATAACGGCTTTAAATTTTCGCGGGCCGTACGGTAGTTAGTTTTAAGAAATAACAACTGAGCTGACATGACGATTTCACACGAACCTGCGTAGCATGTGTTCGAGTAATAGTCAGACGTGCGTTGAGCGGTCGCTACAATAAAGCGAATTTCAATCAGCAAACAAATTTTCGCATCGAACGGCTAGCGACTGACGAAATGCTCATATCTTAAAGCAATCTTGTACTTACTTTCTGTCCCAAACTAAAGAACAAAACGTGCAGCTCATACAACTATCTCACTCCTGAGCTTGGAAAACGCAGTTGTCAACGTTG